GTGATGTAGTGAATGGCAACAGTCGAATCTGCCTCAACCCAAATATTTGACAAATCAAGATCTCTAACCAATAGGTCCCATCACAAATAGCCCTGAGTTCCTCCTCTAATATCATACATTGTCCATATGAAGCTGAGAAAGCCCTGATACAATTTCTTGTGTAGTCCCTGATGATGCCTCCCCCGCTTGCAAACCCATCCTTGACTCAACCATCGGTGTTGATCTTGACATATCCAAATGATGGAAAACGCCACCAAACCATGATAGGGGGAGGAGATGGGGGGAGAGTAAAAAAAAACCAAAAAGCATAGCAAGCTGCATGTTATTACGCTAATGTAACGGTCGGAATAGTCCACCAATATGGAGGCAGGATACCATACGATAAACTCTCTAGATAATACGTCCTAAGCTCATACGTATGTTCATTGCTTTGCATTATTCCTCTCAATCCAAATAAACCAGAAAATCAATATATGAATAATGATGCGAATGTGTTCAGTCCTTGCAAACTATCTAGAATACCTCCATTTCAGAAATCTCTATTTGACACTCTCTCATGTACTCATGGTAATCTGAAATAAAGCCCCAAAATGTTGTCAACATGATCTGAAATACTACTACTAGTAAAAATATGAGTGATTGTCTCAATTTCAGAACAACACTGACATCGAGAAGCTAGGTGGCGTTAATGTGGTATTAAATGATATGTGAAATTAAATAAGTCATTTAATTTCACATTTCATTTAACCTATCATTTAGAGTTACATAGACTGGGGTTACAACCCTAATGGGGATGAATAACATTATTTTTTTAGTCACCTTCTTGATTTCTATCACTTTTTCTAGTGACAAACATCAAATTTTAATAAAAATGACATTGTATGTCATTTTTTAATAAAAAAAAAGTGACACTTAACTTTAAAAAGTTACAGTGAGTCACTTTTTTTTTACTGTGTCACTTTTTCTATTTAAAAAATGACAATTGATTTTACAAAGTATTTTTTACTTCCAAAATATGTTTTATATGATTTTTCAAAAGACCCTTAATTTTAAGGATATTTTTGTAAGTTGCCCTTGTTGAAAAAATTCTGCTATTTGTACAGAATACTGTACACACAAAAGCCGGCCAGAACACTCACAAGCAGGTAGGACCGGGCATTTTTTACAATATTTTATTCACAGTGGGACTCACCTCCATGTGAGATTCTGGTAAAATTCTAGTGAAATTCTTCTGGTGAAATGGAATTATTCTTGTTGAAATTGGTTGGACTATGGATGAAATGTTGTGCCCAATGCTCTAAGGTGCTACTAATCAATCCTTAGCATGTGAAGTCAATCTTCTATTGATTTGTGACTTCATTTGGAGCCACAAGTATATGCAAAAGCAATATAAAAAACACAAAAGTTCACAAAATTACAAAGTGTCAAAAACCATTATCACTACTACCTAAATCCGAATGGCCTATGTCCATCGTGTCTCTTCCATATCCCATACATATCTTTTTGACTATTTGACTTGAGTGTCAGAGTGACCATTGTGTCCCTTTGGAGCTACAATCATGAACAGTCTAACTATCCAAGTGTACAATTAACATACACATGGATGGGAGAGAAGATGTGATTTGTTGGGTAGAAGATACAACCGAATTTTGAGGTCAAATATTAATTCAGTTTTGGAGTAGATGATAATCATGATTCATCAACACCGATTAAATAAGAACAAGAAAAAGGAAATTGTAGATTAGATTTTTCACTTATATTTTGTTGAATTATTTCTCTATACAATCCAATTATGAATTATCACCAAAGCTCACTACACTACATAAATAAAGAAAATTCATATGGTTTCTGACCATCGACTATTTACTGATAGATTTTCTCAAAATAAAACCAGAAAATGAATTTTTCAGATAAAATAGTCTGTTTTCCCCTCGGTCGGATTCATATGGAAGCAGAAAAGTTAGAAATATGGACTTCGATAATGCTACTCTCAATTGTAAATTTTGAATTTGAAATTCATTTCTCCCGAATTAATTTCTGCCTCTAAGGATATACCGTTTTCAGTTTTTCAAAACTTTCCAGTAATTTTGAATCAAGGACCAAAAAGCAAGTAAAATATTTTGGCTGTTTTTTGATTCCCTGGATTAAAATATATTTTTAATTAAAAATTAAAATTTCGAGCCTCTTTGAGCCCCTAGGCTAAAAATGTATTTTGGAATAGTAGATTGGTGGAGAATGTATGATTAAAAAAATAAGAAAAATTTTTAAATTTGCGTGTAATATTATTTTAATAAAAAAATGTGTGATTAAAAAGAAGAGATGAAAAATGTATTTTTGAGAATAATAGAGATCAAACAAGGGCTTCATAAATCTGCACAGCAGCCCTTCCCTCCGCCAGTGTATGTACTACCCTTTCTTCATTTTCGTACGTTTAATAAATTTAATCTATTATTTAAAATCAATAAATATTAACTTGTTAGTTGCTAATACTACAAATAAAAGCAATCATACTACAAGTACATAATTTTTTGACAGAATAGACAACACATGGAGCAGCATCATTGGAAGATCGGAAAAAAGAAAATGAACGGTCCATCACATTTTGTCATATTCTGTTAAATTTTTCATGGACCCATTGCTTTATTCAAATAAAAAATAAAGAACATTTGAACTAATGGGTGATAACTTAAATAAATAAATAAAATTTAGTTGATAATACAACTGACAACATTGTCATCGGCAATCGATGATGGACATATTGTGATTACTTTTATAATCTCCATAGTAATATAGGGAAAAAAAAAAATTAGTAGATGATCACCGATTGCGATAGGAAAAGTGACTACTAGCAGCATTATCGAGTTGGTGACTTCTCTCTAGTACTAGCATGCGAGCAACTGCATTGCTTTAAACCCCCATCTAGTTCGCTCCCTCATTTTGTACAACTGAATCACGTATGTTATTTTTTTTTTTTTTGAGAAAATTGTATTTGGGGTGCTAATCTTTTCAAAGGCCACAAACCTTTTTCATTTTGATACAACAATCCCTAACATTTGGTTGAATAGACAAACCATCTGAAGAACCACCATCAGAATATCGTATTCACTACATGGGATCTAAGTGCATTTGCACCATCTCTAGCAGGAATGTTCTGCTGAGGAAAATGATTGATTTTTCTTTTTTACTATTTGTTCATTGCAATTTTTAAATTGTAACGAAAAGGGTGAGTTTTACTCTTTCTAAAAATTAGATCAAATGTTAAACTAACGTAACCATTCAAAGCTCCTTTAGCTCTCTCTATTCAACCACAGGTTAACCCCAACACTGTCAAAAGAGAAAAGAAAAGGTAGAGGTAACAGTTGCACTTTAAAATGTTAGGACTTTCTCAAATTTGCACCTGCAGTCATATTGTCGAACTATTAATTTCTCCTTTGTTAAGCATATGTCGATCTACTCAGTCTATTCCATCGAAACAATTTAAATAAGTAAAACGAAAAGTTTTGCATCCAAATACGAATACCTCAAGTTTAAGTAAATTCTATTTACCTTTAAGTTTAGCCAGACATGTACTTGAATAGGAATTCTGGTAATACCGCGGTGAAGTTTTAAATTCACACAATGAAATACCCCTTTTCTGTCTTTTACTTGTATACGTAGTATTTTTGGAAATTTATAATAAATTTTTTTCTTATATAGTTAGTAACTATTATATACAATAAAGGAAGCCAAATTCAGCAAAAAAAAAAAAAAAGTAATCTACCAATACATAACTTACAGTTCACTGTACAAGAAGAGCTTGTGCAATGTGTCAATAGCTGTGATTTTTACTTGACATTTGATAGCATTAATAACCTTTTCCAAAGGAACCTTCCCGTCCGAATCCTGACTGGAAAACAAATTCAAGGTGTAGAATTCACAGAGATCTCTTGGGGAAAAGGGGCACTTGGCTGATCCACATTTGAAGGGATGACAAGGCGCTGCAATGGCTTTAGAGCCATGGCAAGTTGTGCAAACGAAGGACGCAGACTGGGATCACTGGGAATGAACCCCCCCGCAGGTAATTAGTCTTAGAGAAAACATATAACAATGGGATATAGATACAAGCTGCATCAAATGTAGATACTTACGTTTGCCAACATTCCCATATTATTCGTGCCACCAGGGGATCGACTTCCTTGGGGATGTCAAGACGGCGATTTTGAAAACCCACTGCACCTACTACTTGCATTGGGTTCATTCCACTCCAGGGCAACTTCAATGTTGCAAGTTCCCACAATATCACACCAAAACTATATACATCACACCTGTCAAAGTTGACAATCAAAACAGATTGGTGGTATGTATACAAGCACAAATCTAAGCTTCAATAAAAGCCATGCAGGGGACAACTAATACATTAGCCAACAAAAGGAGATTTGTACTCCCTTGGGCATTTGTTTGAGGTTGGCATTCCTTGGCTATTAAAAGAATGATTAAACACTGAAAATGCCTTTTATTCAACATGTGACAAGTGTAAAAGTAACAAACAAATAGGAATATATATAGAAGTTGGACATTCTATACTCTTTACGCTTCAAATTCTGGCTGTCATGTGTTACAAGTTCAAATACTCTGGCATAGCATTAGTATTTGCTAAAGCTTCTGGCTTCTTATGAGATATCTTTGACTGATTTTACAGAGGATCTGTATAGTTGAGTAGAAAATATGAATTTATTTATTATTTCAGTCTACTCTTGATGAGAACATGTTGTCCTCCAATCTATTTAATCTTTTCTCTACAAATAGAAATCTCCTTTCCTACCTTAGAAGAAAAAAGAAACAAGATATGATTTTTTGAAACTAACACTTAGTAGATGTGTAAATATTAAAATGAACAGAAAATAGAGGAAATGAAGTAAAACGCAACTTATAAATACGCAAATACCACAGCAGTAGAAAGACATTTAAGCAATTTAACTCACTTCTCATTTGAAAGTTCATTTCGGAGAACTTCTGGGGCCATCCATTCAGGCTATCGAGGCAAATACTAGTTGGTTAGAAAATTAAATAAAGGCACAAAAATTAAAATTGAAAAAACTGGGAAATCATATCCAGTAATAGAGCATACAACTATTTTCTAATCACAAGTTTATAAACCTCACCGTTCCTCCAGTTGACTTGGATGACAAAAAAGTGTTGTGTTTCAGGCGTGACAATCCAAAGTCACACACCTGCATTTTCACAAGTTATAAAACTAAAACATTGAGTTCAGCAAAGTAACCACTAGCTAGCCAAGACCTAAACAAAATGTCATTTAATATCAACTTGTTTTTCCTTTTAAATATGATCTATTGATGAATGTCTTCTGGAACTCAAATATGTGGCCATTCAAGCCTTGAAGTTTTATGCACACTTTGATATTGTCACCCAAGAACGTGAAAAATCATTTCGGGCAAAATATCATATATTACATTCAAACTCAATTCTTACAGGTTGACCAAGCAGGTATGCCAGAGTACCTAATCTCTTGGCAGATAAGAATTGGAATGTCAAGGTATCTGTTACTTGAATTTGGTACTCTGGCATACCTGCTTGGTCAACCTGTAAGAATTGAATTCAAGTAACAGATACCTTGACATTCCAATTCTTATCTACCAAGAGATTAGGTGACTTCAGATCTCGATGAACTATTGTAGGTTTGCTAGTGTGTAAGCAGCTCATGCCCTTCGCCTGCAATATCACCAAAATTTAAGATAAATAAATATATATGAATCGAATTGTGTGTCCAAACCAAAAATCTAGGATTGCTGCACATACCACATCAAGTGCCATTTTAATTCTACGCTTTTCATCAATTTGACAATGAGGACGATGAATAATCCGATATAAGCTTCCTCTGGAGAACCAAAATGTTCACACCAGTTACTATCTCGACAAGAATTGGGGAACAGGCCGAATAGATTTTATGTAACTCAAATAAAAATGACACGTAGTTGAGATTAATCAAAGTAGCAAATTTGAAAGACAGGAAAACATGCAATTACTTGAAATTCAAGCTAAATGATTTTATCCATAGACAAATAGAAGGAAAAAAAAACATAATCCAACCATTATATGAAATCCAGTTGAACTAGAATATAAAAATAATTAGAAAACAAGTTAAAATAGATATCCTATTTATAGTTGGACTTCTATTCCAACTGTATCAATGGGAGCAATTTCAAGGGATTGGCTGATATTTATTAGACTAACAGAAGTTCCATAAAAGATCAAGGATTGCAGTCATTATGGAAAAGTAAATGTCACTATTCTGGTGGCTGTGTGAACATGTAATAATTGATACGGCTAATCCAGTTGTTCAGTGAGAAAGAGTTAGTAGGAGGGATGAAAGATAAGGTCGGACTAGGATAGTTCCAGAGGTTATTATTGGAGGAAGTGAAAAAACCAAGGTGAAGATGAATCAAGGGAACTCAAGAAAAACAAAGATATCACATCTGCGTTCCAAGGCATCAAACAGCAAAAAATAAAGTAATATGTACAAAAAGCTTTAAAATGAAGAATAGAATACACATCAGGTCTAAAAGGCTCCAACTGTACCAACAGTTTTTACCTGGGAAACGGTTTGAAGAAATACTGTTTGATGGTAACTTGATAACAGGTTGCTATTTTCTAGAGCTATAAGCTATAAAACTTGGACTCCCACGTAGACAGGTCAACTAAATATGCAGAGTTCTGGACTCTGGTCTGTTGTTTATCAAGGGGGCTAAGGATCAAGCTATTTTTTCTTAAAACATTCCCTTTTCTCCATTCTAGAATAATGTCACAGATATAAATATATGTAGACCATGTTTAGGAGCGAGACTTTCCACAGTACCAGAAATAGAAGGATAATATGGGATGCCGCTGATCCTTGCCTCTAATGTTGCATGAGAGAGAGCAAAGAGCTCTGGTATTGAAGCAATGTTTATAAACAGCAATCACGTTTGCCATTTTTCAGATAGGGAAACTTTTCCAACTACAATCAATACCATAAAAAGTTTCTCTCGGGAGAAATTTCCTTGTATTAAATTACATATTTCCGTATCTTCAGTGTAATATTGATGAAGCAACATTGACTATAGAAGGAATGCTTCAGGCAGTACATAATTGCAGTAACGTGACTTACAGCACTAAACCACAACGAGCATCAGTCTCTCCACTGGTATTTATGGACTAGGTTTTCTGAACCTCTAGTATTTTCAAATGAATCTTTTCCAGTAGTCATTATTAATTCATATGATCCGAACAGACAGACCAACACAGATTTCTATGAGAAGCACACAAAGATCACAGTTCCACAACCCACTTGCAACTTTTTGGCCAAAAATAGACCAAATAGTTTTTGGCCTTGCACCAATCAAAGTATCACTCTCATGCTAGTTGGAAAACTACACATTCATATAACATATCTGAAGAGTGAGTCAGATTGCTGTACAATGGTAAACAATCAACTTGAAATGCTTCCACCAATATTTCCCTGAAAAATTGCCCAATGAGGTACCGTTGTTGTTGCTCATTTAAACATGCTTGTTAAGGGCAATTAAAAACTGCATTCATGACAATAGACTCCCATCCCAGGGTATCAGAGTTATGCTTGTAAAACTTCAATAACCAATAAACCATGGGAAATCATATTAACCTTCAGAAATGTTGTATCTGACAACAGAGTGTTCCAAGTCACAAAGAAAGAACATGCTTTCATCCAACCAAATTATTCCAAGGTCGACTTAACAAAATCAATTCATATACTGCAACGTTCAGCTAACAAATTATTGCCAAATATTTCTTTTTAAGCATAGCGCACCATCAAATGATTATAAATGATGAAAGAAACAAAAAATTGAAAACACATACCGTGGTAGAAACTCCGTGACGATAGAAAGATTTGGTGGACGAGTTACGGCACCCATAAAAAGTACTACATTTGGATGGCGTAAATTACGCATGATTAGCACCTACAACAGTGCAACAGTAGTTACTCATCCCTTAGAAAAGTATTAGATTTATACAATTTACATTTTTTAACTGTAACAGAGAGGCAAGTTTGCAGAAAGTTTAAGCGGCCTGCTAATACACAGACGAATGAAGAAAACAAATTCAACGTTCAAGGTAAAAATCAAAATAAAATAACTAAATAAATAATAAAAATTCACCTCTTAGTCAGAGCATCATGCACGCCATCTAGCTCCCTTCTTTGCTTGGGACCATTCTCCAATGGTCCTGCACTTGAAGGGAGGAAAAGACTCAATTCTTTGGGTCAGCTTCCTCAGGCTCCTTTTTCGGAATTTGCCGAGGAGCTGCCCCTAGAATGAGATAGAAAAAGCCTCCTTAAGGTTTCTATTCCAAATATGATTCTTTTCAAGCCTAGACCTATCGTTCGGACCCCTTCCCAAGGGTTCCTTAGCTTGTTAAGAGTTATTTATAATCAAGCTTGTGGAGGTATTCACAGTGTAATAAATCAAAAGCAAAGGAACACTATTATGATAGTCAACAGTTTATCATGAACCTCTAATTGAAGGAAGACTACCTTATGGCTAGCTTTCATTTAAATATCTCAAAGAAACCAAGGTAATTTTAGTAGATACATACAGTTCAACAAAAGGTCTCTTAATTGTTTTTACATAGTATGTTCACTGGTAAATAAACAAGGTAAATTCTTACTTCTCTCTTAAACTCATCCAAAGCAGCACCTGAGAAATCCTGGTCAAGGAACTTCTTCACAGCAACCTCCTGTGCTCGTAACAATCCACCAGCCAAAGAACAAAATTAAATGATACTCTCTTGCAGGAAAAAATAAATGTCAATAATATATAAATAGATTAATTCTAAATATAAACAAGCAGAAATACCCTGTACAGTACTAAAAGAATAAACAGAAATTAATACACACCATACATGAAAAAGCAAAAATACACCTCAAAGATGCTTACCAAGCTAGCAGGCAGCAAAGAAAATGAAGGATAAAAAAACACACTTTTGAATGCACACACTCACAACCAGCAACTACTTCAGGATATATTGCTACCCTCACTGTCACTCAAATATGCATGCACATAAGTACCAACAAGCACACCCACAGAGAGAACTAATAATAGCACTCAGCAGGATAGATAATACAAAAGTGGTGCTGATGAAGAGTGAAGACAGAAAGAACTAACCCAGAAAAATAAAACAAGAGGACACAAACTGTGACATAAAATAAAAACAGTACAAGTTACTTTTCACATGAAAGTTAAATCTCATACTAACCTTGATGCTAAAACCAATCAAGTTGTAGAAAACACTGATAAACGAGTCAATTGAGCTCGAGCTAAAGGATACATGAAATGCATATCAAGACTGTGATGTAGTACATCACAACTACTATAATTGATAGTTTTACTTTATCTAGGAGTTTGTCTTTTTTAAATTATATTTTCTAATTTCCTTTTCTAATTGTAATAGGTTTATTCTTAATTGTTATTTAGATTAGGGTTGGTTTATTTTCTTTTAGAATTTAGTTTCCTTTTTTTAATTTCCTTTTATTAATAGAATTAGGGATAATTTGACCTATAAATATAGGG